TTCACCTCTAAGCCAGTTACTTGTTTCCTTCTGTCCACCTCCAAACTCTCCCATGTTTGAAAAACCTGTTCTCTTCCCACAGAGCATTTTAATTCCATCAGACCAGCATTTCCCAAAATAATGAGCAATTCTAGGCACTGTTAAGATGGTGTCCTATTTAAATTTACATCTAATTGATTTCCTCATCTCTTCTTTCTTCTTCTCACTCGTCCATTTAGTTATTAAAAGTATCCAGATAGTCTTTATAACCCCTTACATACAAATGATCCGTAATTTATTAAGGATTAAGGTTTACCTAAACCCCACTACTTTAGTCACATATCCATTACATCACTCTGAATTTGTCTTAGAAGTGCTTTTTGGCTTGCTGAGCTCCCCGTGGGAGGAAGCTTAAGTTCAGACCAAATTTATCGTGTCCTAAATGCCTAGTGGGAAGGAACCAATGCCGTCACTCAAGATTTCCTGAAGATCACTGTGATTTAACAGGGCTTAAAGTCCACCATTAGAAATTCCCAGGAATTTGTTGTGCAAGTGAAATCCTGACCCAATGATGTTTGTAGAAAAATTTTAGTTGGTGGCTCAGGAGTGGGTTTTCAGGCAATGCAGGTCTTTTGGAGTCAGGAGGGATGCAATGCTGTTCCAAATTAGAGTGGACTGTTTTGGAAGGGACACATCCAGGAATCCTGGCTCTGGAGCTCTCCTCTTCCTTCCCTTGCAGAGCTTTGGCCCTCCTGCCCTGCTCCTCATTCCTCCTCTCCTTTTAAATAGCAGCTCTGGGTCGTTGGTTTTCACCCTCATTCCTCTGAGCTGTTCGACCAGTCCTCCCACCTGGGAGGCAAGTGGGAACAAAAAGGCTTTGTCTGTTTTCCAGAGGACTGTCAAAGCCCCACGGCATAAATATTATTTGCCTGAAAGGGAAAAAAGAACTCTAGAAAAAAAGGAAAATAAATATTTTCTCCTTCCTCTCTTACACCTTTGTTTTGTTCCTTGATGTGTTTGTTGTACAAGTCTGGTGCTCACTTACTGCTTGTCTTCCCAAGGGGTCTTGAACCATTTTCCTCTTCCCTTGATTTTTTTGCTTTCAGTGTTCTTGGGTGAGGAAAAGATGCACAATCCTCTGGCTTTTGAAATGTTTCTGCAGGCCAGGTTGGACAGGTCTTGGAGCAACCTGGTCTAGTAGAAAGCGTCCCTGCCCATGGCAGGGGGTGGAACTGGATGGGCTTTAAGGCCCCTTTCAACCCAAACCACTCTTGGGGATGCGTGGGGAGGCTGGCCAAGAGCCTCTGTGTTTGAAGAGCTTTTCTCTCAGGTTCACTGCTCACCTTATGATGTTGCAGCTGGATGTTGTAATTAGGAGGTGTTGATTGACACACATCCTAATATTGAGGAACAGACAATACAGGGCTTGGCAAAATAAGTTTCAGGTTGTTTCCTGCATTTTCACTGTTTCTTGTGCTGTTCCAGGCACATTTTCTATTTTTTTTCCCATGGGCACAAAAGATGGGAAAATAATTGTGAGCAACAACTGTTTTTTTCCTTTCATTCTCTCTCCTTGCAGATGTGAAGGCTGTCTGCTCCTTCAGTGCTCCTCCTCTGAAGAGGGATTTACTTGTTTGGGTTTGTGTTGTCTCAGTGCTTGGCACAGAGGGTCTCTAAGGCTTTATGGGTTCCACAAGAAATACCATAACTCATAGTGCTACTAATGCTCATGTAACTCCAAGAACTGGGATGTGATGAGAACCCCTTCCTGCCACGATCTGAGCAATGTCATCACAAATCATGGCAGCATCACTGCAGAAATGCAGGTGATTCTGCAGCAGAAATGTCATGCTAGAACCCGCACTCTCATTTGTATTCTCCTCCATTTTCCTGGTCTTTTCCTGTCTTTTTTTCTTGTTTGCTCCACATCCCCTGCCAGCAAAGCAACAAAATAAATAATCCCTGGTGGCATTTCCTCTCTCCTCAGGAAGGGATGTTAAAACTCCTGCAACCCACCAGTTCGACTCAAAGGCAGCAGGACTTGGGGTGCTGCATTTAAAGTGCCAGAGGACAGAGTTAGGTGGAATATAGGGAAGACATTCTTCTCTGTGAGGGTGGTAAGGCCCTAGTACAGGTTGCCTAAAGAAGCTGCAGCTGCCCCATCCCTGGAAGTGTCCAAGGCCAGGCTGGACAGGGCTTTTTGCAACCTGGAATAGTGCAAGGTGTTCCTGACCAGGGGAGAGAATAAAACAGGATGGGCTTTAATGTCGTCTCCAACCCAAACTGTTCTATATTTCTATGTCACCTCTTCTTAAAAGGGGTGAAATGCTCAACTACAGGTTGACACTGAGCTCCTGTGCAAATCTTCAGGGTGGGTTCAATATCACAACAGATATTTTTTTTCATCCCATGAGTCAAAGCAGCAATTTGGGGCTGCTGGAGGTTGGGCACAACTCATTCCCTGTGCGTGTCACACCTCGCCTGTGCTTTCCAACTTGAGGCTGGACTAAATACCTCACAGAGCTTCATTGTTCTTCCACAGCACTAAATAATTCACACCCCGGGGCTTCATTGTTCCTGTGTGCCAATTTCCCTGTTGCACTCCAGGGCTTCCTGTGGATTTTGTGGGCACCGTTCATAGAAATGGAAGAGTGGGGACAGATAGGGAAAGAGGGAGTGACTTTCCCCCTCTCCCTTCTCACCTTCCAAGTCTTTCTCTTTCCAGGCACACATGTTGGGGCAGTGTTCACAGTGATCAGTGATCTAGGTGAGGAGCTGGCAGAACAGAAGCCCTAATCTCAATTATCTTCCTCCTTGTCCGTTTGCACAGGATCCTTATCTCCCTCCATGTAACTCTGTATTTAATTATACATATAATACTTCATGCACTAAGTGCATTATTAAGCAATTTCTAAGATAAGTAGCTTTCTGGATCCCAAATTATGATTAAATATTGGCAATCAAGCTGTCTTCCACTCTTCCTCCGGCAGCTGGACTGCCAAGTCAGGCTTGTTTGGGTAGGTGAGACCTATGTGAGGAGGAGAAATTTAGGTAAGAGACTGTTCAGGGGCAAAAGGTATAGTTGTCCACACAGGGCTCCATGAAGCTTGTTCAGACATGGATTTGGGGATTACTTTGCTATTCCAGGCTGGCCAGGTGCAGCCAAGTGTCCTCCACAAGTGTTACACATCCTAATCCATCGTTTGAGTTGTGGCAGCCACAAAGCTCTTGCAGCTCTTACATTCTCTGGTTTCCCACTGTTGTGGTTTTAAAGCATTAGCTAAAAAATTACTAGAAAACTTACTCATTTCTTGCTGTGAGATATGGATTAGAAGAAGGGTAAAACAGGCTTAAAACTTAGAAGGAATAAAGAAAGTTTAGTAACAAAACTACAAGAATAAGAAACCAGAATAAAACCTCCAGGAAGCCTTTTTCCCCACTACTCAACTATTCCCTTGTTTAATTGACAACATAGAGACAAAACCTAGTGTTTAAAATAGTCTCCACTTTGCTATTGTCTTTTCATCAATCTTTGTAGAGAAAATTAAGTTTGCTTTTCTCAATCTATGGAGTCTTTCACAAGAAAACCACTTTTTCATGGCTTCTTTTCATTATTTCTCTGATGCCAGCCACCTGGAAAACTCTGCCATCGGTCATTTTCTCCCATTTCACACTACTCTAAAGTGTGTTCGTGAGCCATAATTCAAGACGTGTCATTTTAAAGATGAGTTATTCAAAGACAAAAATCTCTTCATCTGTGTCTGTGATCATTTCTGAAAAGAGAAGTTTTCTCTTTGTTTCTCTTTGTTAAAGGCCACGAACCTTCAACAACTCTCACTTCTCCTTTTCTGTTTCAGCATCTCATAGGATCACAACTACTTCACCATTTGCTTAAATCCACACTTTGAAGTACTCCATTCTCCCCAAAATACTTTCATGAATTAAAAGTTTTTCCAGAACATTATTGTCCATCCTCATAGCTTTAACACAAGAATATTTCAGCCTATTAAAACATTTCTTTATTTCTCTCCTCATCTGAAGCTTAATTCCTTTCTTCAGTCTTTAGTAGTTTATGTTGTCTCTTTACATGCTGATCACTCTCTCTGCCTTTCTCTCTAAAAACAAGATTAATCTGCAAGTCTCATCTAAGTAGTGAAAGAGTTAAAATCTGGCTCAAACCGCAGCAAGTATTCAAAGTGCCGAGTTTCAGTTCAGCGGCGCTTAAAGCCGAGAACTCCCCTGGAAAAAGCTTCAGGCACCCCGAGAAGCTTCCCGAAAGGCTGCAGCAGCCCCCGGCCCGGCCTTGGCCCGGGGGGAGCCCCGCAGGCCCCATGTCCCGGCCGGGAGCTGCGGCAGGCCCAGCCCAGCCCCCGGCCGGGCCGCACAGCCTGGCCAGCTCTGTTACCTTTCAATACCGGAAACCAAAGAGAAAGAGAAATTCCCGGATTTAAGTTCTAAAGCGTAATGTTCACAACTTAATCTCACTTTTCAGCAGTAAAAACTACTGTCAATTCTCAAAAGTAGCCAGCTATTTGCCAAGAAAAAACACTCCCATCGGCCTCCAGCAGCCTTAATTTCCTTAGCCGTTTCCCTTTTTTCTTAAATGCCAATCTATCGCACCCATGCAAACTTTGCCATGGCAGGCAGGATGGGAGAGATTTCTTCTGGCAGTCAGGTTGTGGTGTTGGGTTTGTTGCAGCTTCATGCTCTGCAATGGAGGACCAGTGGAAATTAGTTTCTTCCATTTCTTTGCATAGTTTATGTTCCCTGGTCCTCGCACCATGTCTGTTGAGCTCCTCTGCTCCCTCCCAGTATATAGAACCCTAGAACAATTTGGGTTGGAAGGGAACTTAAAAGACCATCCAGTTCCAACCCCCCTGCCATGGGCAAGGACTTCTTCCATTAGAGCACGTTGCTCCAAGTCTCATTGTACCAGTGCTAGTGTTAAGAACAATTAAAATCTTGTTAGCCATGTTTCTTGTTGGACAGTTACTGTTTGTAAATTAATAGAAACCCCTTACCTTGTGCCCCTGTCCCAAGCTGCTGTACCCTGTGCTCCTTGTTCCTAGTTCAGCCAGACCCTGCCTCCACTGCTCCCCTATACTTCCACATGGCAACAAATGGCTCCACCCGGTATGCTAACCATGCCAACTCCCAGGAGTCTGAGCCACAACAGCAAGTGAGACCACCACATGTGGACCCCTAGAGCCAGCGAGCCATCATACGACAACTCACAGGACCACACCGGAGGACTGACAGGACACCAAGCTACCTTGCAAAGCCATTTGATTGTGTCACATGACAGAGACAGGACCCTCTTACAGTCACCCCCTGGACTTGCAGCAAGCCAAAATAAGAAAGGTCTTCTATAGGACTCCTGTGAGGTTGGACACCCCAGCTCTGCTTTTTGGCAAAGCTGCTTGCACTTTCTCCTTCTTCTTGTCCATAGGGAACAGTGTTGGGAGTGTGACCTCTTGGGCCCCCAAGCAGGCTGATCAATAAAGGCTTTATAAAAAGGAGAAGAAGGTCTCCTTTCCCATCCTTTTCACTAGGAAGATGAACTGAAAGTTTTGCAGCTTGGTAAAGTCTTTGGCACTATGAAATGTTTCATTTTTCTGGAGGGGTTTCTCCTTGCCTTCCTAACTTTTTCCCCTTCCAAATACAGCAGGGGAGGGATGAGGGCTAGCAGAGCATGATCAGACTGGCAGAGGAGCTCCCTGATATCCAGCAATGGGCCTGAGCAGGCTCTGTGGCCAGCGCATCTCTTGGAGCAGTCTTCCCTCTTTTGCCAACAGCATTTCTGGTGCATTCTCAAGTTATGTCTGTGCAGTTCGCTCATCCAACTGATCTCCCACCCTGCATGCAGGCATGGGATTGCTGTGCTGCAATGGCCAAGGGATTACAAGGACTGCTTCCAATTCTGTGAAGGAAAATGCTGTTTGTAAGTGTAATTGAGAGCATGGCTTTAGAGTTGATGACTCTAAGCTCTTGTTTTAGATGTATCATGTTTCACCTCTTTAAAAGCATTTAAGAGCTTACCAAAAAAGCAAATGTCATTGCTCAATCTGTGAAGTGCAGATATGCACTATAATGCAACTTGCTGTGTCAGTTCCTTCCCTCCAAGACACAGTGGAAGCAGATTTAGTTTGCTTTCCAGGCCCTTCAGAGGTCACAGCTGCCCCCACCTTCAGTGTTAATATGTGTGTATTTGTGTATGTGTGTAAGGTGCACATGGTCCATGTACCTGCTAAGAGTGCATTCATCCACTCTCCAGTTATTCCTGGTGAAACAAATATCTAGTCTTAGCTGTTTGTAGGAAATCTTCAATTTTAACTTGTGCCTCTATGATTTGCTTAGAGCAACCTGGTCTAGTGGACATGGCCATGACAGGGGGTGGGACTGGATGAGCTTTAAAAGATCTCTTCCAACCCATACCACACTGGAATTCTGTGTACTGAGGCTGTCCAAACTTTAGGGACCTATGTAAATCACTTGCAGTGCCTGCAGCTTGCAGGTATTAAACAGGGATTCAGGGACAAAAGAGCCAAACCCCTAAAATTTGATGCTGAATTTGCTGCTTGAAGATGAATTGCAGATTTAGAAGCAAAGATGTCTCTGGCAAAGATCAGTAATGCCCCTGGTAAGGCATTTCTTGCTCACCTGAGGATTAATTTTAAAGTGGGAGAGCTCTGGTCGGGACATGTGTTTATCCCATAGTCAAGACCAGGTCCTGCCATGCACCTGAGCTCTGCATACCCAGCATTCTGTACCCCAGCACCACCCTCTGTGTCCTCATGCAGCTCCGTCATTACCTCCCTTAATGAATGAGCAGTTTGCTGGCAAGCAAATCATCAGGTTTCACACCCCACTTCCCTTTGGGAGGATAACATTTGTGAAACAGCAGGGAAGGTGAGAAGATAGAGCTCAAAGAGTTGTGCTAATGCTCCCTGGAATGCCAACAATAATATACCTTCTCCCTTAATATCTGAATTTCGTGAGTGCATTTCATTGTGCCTCTCACAGCATTCTGCAAACATTAATTAATTACAGTCTCATTATATCTCTGTTAGATCCATTTATTTATAGATGGAGAACTTTCCATCCCCAAGCACTCTGGAACCTGTTAATCACCTGAAGGCAAACAGCAGGCCAGGAGAGATGAGCTTTGTTGTGGAAATGTTGGGAATAAACACAAAGATGTTCTTGTGAGCAAGGCTGTGGGTTAGGAATTCAGTTGGAGTTTGATTTGTGCTTGTGCAAACCATGTCACTTGAATCCTGCCATGGTGTAAATGGACACAGTTTTTTGGAGAGGATGATGGGATGATGGTCCCATCTCACACACCACTGTCCAAAGTCCTGTGATGTACTTTTGTAAAATGTGCTGTGGCACAAATTAAAAGAGATTCATTTAAATCACAGCTGAGACAGTAACTTCCCTGACCACTGGTTCATGTCTGGCATGATAGTCTGAATGAAAAGATCCTTTTTCTTTCCATCTCTTGCTTTGCTCTCTGCGCTAAAAGGTCTTTGGGATGAGAAGAGGCCATTTCTTATTCTGTGTCACACAACATGGAAAATAGTTTTGGGTTTGTTTCTCCATGGCACTATTTACTGCTTTAATCTTCCAGCTTTGAGCACTGAAGGTGGGGAATACCATTTGGAGAAGCTTTGGTTGATAGTGAGTAGTGGTAACAGGAGAATTATCTGGATTTACTTTATGTCATCTCCTTGCCACATGAGTTTTAATTCCCACGTCAGCAGGGTTTGTTGAGCTGCAAAGCACAGATGCATCTGCAAAGTACCCCCCAGCTGTAAGACTGGGAAGAACTGAATCTGGGAACAGGCTGAGCGCCCTTGGCTTTTCCCACAGTACTCAGGTTGTGCTGGAAGTTAGCTGTCCTGATATTATCCTGATGCCCTCACTGCCCAAGAGGTTTGATCATTACATGGACATGTTTCTCCAGGTTCTGGAGAAGTCACTGGAGAGAAAGCAAGCTGGGACATGCTGGAATAAAGCCAGCAGCACACCCAGGAGCAGGTTTTCAGCCAGGCAGGGTGGTACCCAGAGTTGTCCCAAGGACTGGGCAGAGCTGAGGCTCTGGCAGTGCCCTCACCACTCCAGCTTCCAGCCTGGTTCTCCTCCAGCACCAACAGGCCTCAGTGCAGACATCCTGAGAGGCACCACAGCGGAGCAATTAGCTCCCATGAAATTTTCCACCATTAGGAACAATGGCTGGCTTAGTTCTCATTTGATTGAATTAATGATATTCTAACAAGTGACATTTTTTTCCCTTTTAAATTCTCTCATTTGGAATGAATTGCTTGTTGTAAATTACACTTATAAAAATTAGGCTGGTGTTTTGTATTGTTTACAACAAGCACTTCAGGGTTATGGATGTTACTCATTGATTTATAATGTTTCATTCTTCTCCCTTTCTTTCCCCCTCCTTTGAGCTGTTCATAAATCAAGCAGCCCTATCAAACCTGTGTCAACATTTCACTCAGCCTGCAAGTTGTGGGCAAGTTGGGACAGTGGATCTTACAGAGAAGGTTGACTCTTCTCCTTCACTGTCTCTCCCATTTTGATGAAATAATAAAAAGGTGAGGCTGGCACTTGTCAGTTATTTCTGAGTCACTTTTCATTAGGCCTTTTTCAAACACTCCAGAGAACAATGTTGGAGGCAAGTGATGCAAACAACTCATGTTCCCGCTTGTGCACTTGTGGATTAGGGCAGCAGCTGCTGTGGAATTACACTGAGAGGCTCAACAGGTGTCTGATGGTCCTGGACCAGATCCGGATGATGTCAGGCAGCCTTATCTGACAGCCTCCTCTTCCCCACCAGCCTGAGGTCATCATTTTAAAAGCATGGGGAGGTGGCTGGATTTTTTAAAGGGTTCTCCAAGAACTGAAGAGACTTCCAGGAGTGTCCAAAGTTGGGTAGAGTCCTTGGGGATTTTCAGGTGACCCAGAGCTGGTGCTTGGGTAAACCCCAAGAGAAGGAGAATTTAAGGGGTTTTAGTGACCAACACAGAATCCTAGATTGCAGTGAGTGGGAAGGAACCTCAAAGAGAATCTAATTCCAACCCCAAGCACTGTGGTTCCAACATGAGGGTTTCAACATTGAGCAAGTGGTCTGTGGTGTAAGGGATTGACATTTGAGGAAAATGAATGGGAATTAGGGACTAAAGGTCCTCTGAGACACTCTGGTAGCAACTTGCTTAGTCATAGGATAAATTAACTCCTTTGGAAATCTGTGAAGAAAACCATCCTTTTTGTCTGCTGAGAAACGGCAGAGGTCTGGTAAAGAATATCCAAAGATGTGGGTGCATTGTAAAATTCCCTGTATCAGGTCAAAACGGAGCATTTTCAGACCTCTCCTCAGGTGAAATATCAGGGAGTTGCTGCACCCTCAACACTGAACTGCCATTGTGAGAATTCCCAGTGTCTGACCTCCAAAAATCAAAAGGTTGGTAGTCATGCTCCAGAAAATCCATCCTACAGGATAAACATGGATGTTTCTGCTGGGATTGAATGTAACATGAACAGCCATGTCAGCAGGGATGGCTGACTCCCATCTCTCCCGCCCATCTGCTCTGTACCCACATCATCATCCATGCTTTGGGAGGAGCAAGGCGTCACATCAAGCCCAAAGTGCCTGCTGGATGCTGGTGTATGTGTGTGTGTGGGGATATCTGGGGTAATTCCTGCCCACACCATGCCTACACCAGGCGATTTTACCAGCCGGCCCCTTTGCTAAGCATAGGACTCACCCAATTGTAATAACAAATGTGAATAAATACATTTTAATGATACAATGGTGGCAATTAACAATGCTGAAATACAGATGTCTCCCCGAAGAGCTCATGAGGCAGCCGATTGCATAAACTGCCCTATTATGTGGATATGAGTTGATTATTAAAAGAAAACATTTAGCTAATGCAGAACAGGATATTCATCTGCTATTACATAATGGTAATAAGCAACTGGATCCAGGCAGAAATAGTCTTCCAGCCCTTATCAAATGCCAAGTGAAGTGCGTTTATGGCCTCCTCTGTGAAATAGTCCTCCTTGTTTTTCCAAGAAGAGGAGAGATCTTTCAAGAGATAATAAATAAAATAGAGTCTACTTGCTTTACCATGAAGCAAGATGAGTCCTTGGGATTAGTTTGGATTAGTCTGTTGCCAGTGGCATGGAGCTTTGGCACTCAGCCATTTATTCACCTAGAAGACGTACAGCTAATTAGAAAAGCACCTGTGAGGAGATGTAGCTCACCACCTGCGCTTTGCTGAAATGAAATAAGCCTATATAATTGACTACATTACCTATTAATCTTATGAAATCACCCTGAGGCATTTTCATTATTATTATTATTATTATTATTATTATTATTATTATTATCATCATCATCATCATCATCATCGTCATTATCTCCTCTCCCCCCTTTTCTCTCTGAAGCTTTTAAGAATCAAACTTTGGTGTCTTGCTGTTTCCTTGGAAGCCCCAGGACTGTATCAAGACCAGGACTGCTCTGACTGACTTGCTTCTCCCTGCAGGGGAATCCTAGGAGATTAATCTGACCTTAGTCTGACATTTAATTCCTTTTTCTTATGGGACACAGCTTCCTCCTGGTTTCTACCTTTTTCCCTAAAAAAAGTCTGGTGGGAGTCTTTTGAATGCCCTACCAGTTGTTGGGGTAATCCAGAGCCTCATGATGATAAAATAACTCCTTGTTGGCTTTTTTGTTGACCCTGGCCAACAGCACAGGGTGGACTTTGCCCAGACACTGTTGGAAGGAGCTGTTGTGAGCTTGGTCTGGTTGTCTGGTTTGAGAGTGGACAGGTTCCCTGCCTTGCAGTGAGGACATTGGAAAACAGATTGGCCACACATAGGAGAACATGGTGCTATAAATTGCAAAATCTCCGTGT